TGTCATTTGGTCCATCATTGGGATTGCATCATTTGGTCATCATTGGGATTGAGTCATTTGATCCATCATTGGATTGAGTCATTTGATCCATCATTGGATTGTGTCATTTGGTCCATCATTGGCATTGTCATTTGGTCCATCATTGGCTTTGTGTCATTTGAACCATTATTGGGATTGCATCATTTGGTCCATCATTGGGATTGCGTCATTTAGTGTGTCATTTGGTCCATCATTGGCATTGTGTTATTTGGACCCTTATTGGGATTATGTTCATTTGGTCCATCATTGTGATTGTGTCATTTGGTCCATCATTGGCATTGTGTTATTTGGACCCTTATTGGGATTGTGTCATTTGGTCCATCATTGGGATTGCATCATTTGGTCATCATTGGGATTGCGTCATTTGATCCATCATTGGATTGTGTCATTTGGTCCATCATTGGATTGTGTCATTTGGTCCATCATTGGGATTGCATCATTTGGTCATCATTGGGATTGAGTCATTTGATCCATCATTGGATTGAGTCATTTGATCCATCATTGGATTGTGTCATTTGGTCCATCATTGGCGTTGTCATTTGGTCCATCATTGGCTTTGTGTCATTTGAACCATTATTGGGATTGCATCATTTGGTCCCCCATTGGGATTGCATCATTTGGTCCCCCATTGGGATTGCGTCATTTGGTCTCTCATTGGGATTGCGTCATTTGAACCATCATTGGGATTATGTCATTTGGTCCATCATTGTGATTGTGTCATTTGGTCCATCATTGTGATTGTGTCATTTGGTCCATCATTGGGATTGCGACATTTGGTCCATCATTGGATTGCATCATTTGGTCTCTCATTGGGATTGCGTCATTTGGTCTCTTATTGGGATTGCGTCATTTGAACCATCATTGGGATTATGTCATTTGGTCCATCATTGGGATTGCGTCATTTAGTCCATCATTGGGATTGCGTCATTTGGTCCATCATTGGGATTGCATCATTTGATCCATCATTGGCATTGTGTCATTTGAACCATCATTGAATCATTATGATAGACAGGTGCAATACAGGATATTATGGTCAATGACAACATATGCAAGTTTGTATTTTTATTTCAAACTTCTCATTAGTTGAGGGCGCTTGTTTGTGCAGGGTAGGATAATATGTACATTACTTTGTAGCAGATAAAATCTTTAAGTAGTGAACATTCAGTATAGTTCTTTTTTCAGAATTTATCTGCTAATTATATAATATTTATATTAATTTTGAATTGTATTTTACGACTAGTATCTTCTTGATTCATTCCAT